ATATATATGTATTTATGTATATATAAATATATATGTAAGTATACTTGTATATGTGTAGTCTCCGATCTAACACGTTTCCCTCCTTTTCTCTTTCGTATTTCTCCAAGAGAGAGAGAGAGAGAGAGGGATGATGAGGGTAAAATTACAATGGAAAGTACCCAGGTACAATTACTCTATTCGAGAAAATATCTTTCTATTCAGTGATCTGGACAAAAAAAAAAAAAAGAAAAAGAAAAGAAAAATGAATAGGTGATTCTTTGGTATCTGTTGTATTCTAGATTGCTTTCGTATCTCTTGACCTAAACATATTATCTTCGACGAAAGCGACACAAATTTTATATTATTGATCTGATCAATGTGTTTCTTATTCAAATTATTATTAAAATCATTGATGAATTTTTTCTCTATTATATATATTATTATTATTATTATTATTTGAATCTTTTAATAAATGTTTTATTTTTATTTTTGTCTTATCCACAAAATTTGACCTGTTCGAGATTAAAGTTAAGTTAAATATATTATTTAACTTAATTTAACTTTATTATTATTATTATTATTATTATATTTTATTTATATTATTATTTTTTATTATATTATTATTTTTATTAGATTATAATTATTATTTATGTTATTATTATTATTATTTAACTTTATTAGGTTAAGTTAAATATATTAATTTAAAATATAATTAATTATATTTTTTTTTTTGGACAAAAATAATATTTATTATATATAATATATAATATTATATTATAATAAATGTATATTATTAATATTTGAATTTAAATTAAATATATATTAAATGAAGATATTAAATTAATAGAATTCATATGTATTTTTAATCATTTATAATAATGTATTAACACACATTACAAAATTATATCTGAAATATTGTATTATACATTATTTCGTTTTTTTTTTTTTTTTAGATTAAATAATTTTAAGAAGAAATTTGATTGATTCGAAGAACTTTTTTTTTTTGAACAAAAATAATATATTGGATTTTAAATTAATAGAACATTTTTTCTACGTATAAATTTTAGGAATAATATGAATGTAGTTAATTAAAATTCATTCATATTTGTATTTGTATTTTCAAAGAATATTTTTAATCAAATTTGACTACTACTATTTTTATAGATCTAATGAATGATATTTTTATTCGAATGTTAGAATAATAGATATAATATAATGTTTAGTGTTTGCTTAATTTCTTGAATAATTTAGCTTTCTGATTTTCTCTGTTTGATACAAAGGTTCTAACGATTAGTGTTGGATGATTCATCACATATGCAATTTATCGATATTGTGTTTAGAATCATGCGAAATATTATAGATAGAGCAATAGACGATTTAGAATAATTATTACATATCTAACGAGAAATCATACAATAGTTTATCATTAACTTTAAACGGTTCAGAGAGTTAGATATTCATCAATCATAATCAGTCAACTAAACAGCAATTAATCGAGTAGAATAAATTTCATCGGATATGATAAATAATATGTGTGTATTTCCAAGTATATTTTACAACACATATACACACAAACAGATATACACTATATTCTATTTTTAAAAAGCGTTCATTAGTACTCTATTGACATTCAATTAGTTTCTTTTCTTTATTAAGATAAAAAAAAAAAAAAAAAACATAAGTAGAAAATATTGGTTTACTTTATTTTGTTTATTCTATCAGAAATTTATCGTTCATATTTATATGTCATATTTTTCCATGTATAATGTATGTTTTTTTATTTCAATTTTTCTTCAACAAATTTTTCGTTCGATAACCCAGATTGATGTTATATCATAATATTTAATAACAAGAAATGTGTGTGTGTGTGTGTGTGTGTGTGTGTGTATGTGTGTCATTATCATCTGATAACGAGTTTAAATCGATTTTATTTTATATTTCTGCACATGCATTATCAAATCTGACTTTTATATAATATAATGTTCTACACGATAATTAATATGAATTTAGAATAATATCATTTTGATATTATTCTCTATATATACATATATGTGGATATTAATAAATTAATAATCATTATTAATTTCAACTAAAATGGAGGATCAAACATACCGTATGTAATAGATAACTGAATGATAATGATGAATCAACGTGTATAACAGAATAATAATTAAATTCATTGAAATTTTGTAATGAAATAGCTTGTCTAGTATTAGACAAGTGACATTTTGAAGAACGACTTGAAATCGTATGGATGTTTATTATATCATTCAACGTAATTTAGAAATTCTATTTATCATTAATTTAATAGTTGGCAAAATGTCGAGAAATATTAATAAACTTCTAATTCGAATTGAGGTATAAGAAAAGAAAAAACATTATTTTATTTATGACATAAATAATACGAAATGTATGAAATATATAATTTCGTGTAATGAAAAGAAACACAGTTATTTTTATCATTTCATTATTTAACGTCAATATATATAACAAATATTATAATTAAAATATTAAATGATTTATAATATTAATAATAATTTTATTTTAAATATAGAGAATAAATATCATTAATAAAATATAAAATTGATTATGAATTATATAAATGAATTATGATATGAATTATATAAATATTAATAACATTAACAAACACAAAATCTAAAATTCGAGATTCGAAATTTTAATCCCTAAAGTGCCTTATCAAATTTATTAACCCTAAAAAATACAAAAAAATTAATCACTATATCATCTACTAAAATTTAATATACAAACTTTTATTTATTTTTTTTAATGTAAATAAAATAAAAAATTATTTAAAAAACAATATAGATAAATAATTGATTATGACGTGTAATAAAATTTGTAATACAAATTTTTTGTTTTATATCTTACACTTATTATCTAATAAAAAAAATAAAAAAATAGTTGAGAAACGGAGGGAGTAGAGAGGTGAGGGAGGAAGGGGGAAGATAAAAGACGTTTTCCCTTTGTAACATCGAACCCTGTTAATTCTGGGATAAGGTTAAAGGTAGTTCCCAGGGAAGGCGAGCTTTTGCGTCGATCGCACGTGTTCGGTAACTCGGATTGATCGATATTGGTTGCCGCTTAAACGGGGATAACGCGTCACTAGTACAGTCCTGGTACACGTACAGTTAGGTGAGTCCAATCGCACGAACTAGAAGCTGTTGCAACGTGTAATATGTTCAACCGTGTGCGTGTATTACCGAAGTTCATCCATCTGACATTACGTACTGACGAACACGTCACTTTAATCTTAAACAAAATGAATATTTTCACAAATGTTTTTGAATTACTATACACAGTCACATAATTTTTCCTATTTTATTTTGTTATTTTTATAGACTAAACAATATAATAATTATTTATTGTTTTTATGTATTATTATTTGTTACAATTCAATGAGGTAGATTGTTGAAATATATTTTAATGAAATGATTTTAAAAAAATGAATTATTTCAATGAATGTACATAACCTCTATCTATAAATTGTTGTTTTTCATTTGTTTTGTTTACTTTTTATTTGATTTTTGTTTGTTTGTTTGTTTGTTTTTTGAGATATTCGTTGGTTGATTTTCAATTGAAGTTACATTCCTTTAATATACGATAAAGATCATTGGAAATTCGCAATACTTTTGTTCAAGGGTCAATCGGTAAGCAACGTCCAACAGAACAATATGGCGGACATTACCGAAACGGTAATAGTTATTGCATCCGTTAACACATCGACGTTGAACCGTTCGCTAATGTTGCTTCTGCTACATTACCACGAGAAACCGCAGAAACGAGAATCAGCCTGTCGAGGATTAACATCTCCATGGTTGTTAAGAACATTCACTGCAGTTGGGTGTCTTCTCATTATGAACTCCTTTACAGATCGATTGTTATGGGATTCGCTTTACTCGAATTATGATTTTACACGTTTACTCCATCCTATTTGAACTTTACACTATTAAATTTATTTTCACCATAGTATTTATTTAATTAATATTTTTATCGTTTTTATGTGAAGGGAATGAATTAGAAATTACTTTTAGTTTCATTCATTGATTCATTCATAAATTAAAATGACTTATAATAAAATTTATTTATAATTTTATTAATAAATATTTTTATATATAAGATTTTCATTTATAAATAAATCAAATAATAAGTTATCAACACCCCTGTATCCAATCAAAAAATTATATTGTTGAATTGACAAGTTTTTAAACTCAATAATTAAATAAACTTATATAATAATAATTTTAATTTAATAAAAATTTATATAATAAAATAAATTTATAACAATAATATTTTATTTTTATTAAAACATGAGTTAATTTGTTTGAAACAAATTATTCCTATATTGAGTTCGCAAAACTTTTGAACTCATCCACGTGGGTATTAATTATTGGAGTATGCAACCCTACCCCTATTATAAATATTAACAATTTATTTATATAAATTCTCCACACACACATACACACACATTTATTTTTGAAACTTCTCTGAAATATTTTTTATTAAATAGTAAAAATAATAGTAACATTTCTACATACAAGTATTACTATTATCGTTATCTCACTCGAGCATGTTAGACCTTTTACCATTGTAAATTTTCTTTCTTTATTTAGTCAGAACGTTGACGTAAGTTGTTTCTGCGTGATCATCGTCGTTCCGCCATTTTCCCTTGGAACGAGCACGATCGTTCCATCCCATCCTCTCACTGTTTCCCCGATGCTGGACGAGATCATTTTGCGTGCTCATCTCGCGTGACCTTTACGATAACTGCAACTGGCTTTGCTCAAAAAGGGAATTCCATTGGGTCCAAAGCGTATTTCCTGATCACGATACTACCCAAAAACTTTACCTACATACATACGTTCCTTTTATTCTTAAAATAAAAGAAAA